ATAAAATAACTAATAGAAGTTATTAATTTGTTTGCTTATATAAAGGTTCAGAACAACTAATAATATTTATGTTTTAAAAAATTGAAAATTATAATAGTACCAAAAATAATAAAATATAAACCTAAGCAAACATTTTTTTCAAAACTTGTGTTCATATTGTGTGTCTTTGTAAATGTTACCAATTCGTTTATTAGCAACTATTTGTCTTATGATTATTTTGTATGCTGAATGTATTATAGACACACGTCAAAAGAAAATCCTTCTTTTCTAAGGTGCCTCTACGAGAAAGAGGTTGGTGTGCAGGTCACTATCACGGTCATGGGTGGTTCGGTTCAATGTACGTACGGCGATCATCCCAAATTAAGGGCAAAGGCCTCCTGCCTTTTGCAGGGAATGCTGAATGAAGTGATAAGGTGAGGGATGAAATGACTATGATGAGGGTGGGAGGTGGTAGGGTGGATGGTGAGAGGTGATCGTGGACATGGTTACTTTATTTATTTGCCTGACCACGCCGCCTGACCATTACCGCCTGACCACGAAATTTCGCTACGCTCCTTTCACTCACTAGCGGAGGAAGGAGGTATTTCTTGGGCGACGAAACAGGCGATTTTAATTTAGCTCAGAGGCGTCATTTAGGCTTCACGATCTTTTACATGCAAGTAAATATACTAACTTTCGCACTAAATCTACCGCAATAAAATCAGCCACTGCAAACCTATAGCCCCGGAGAGCTGTCAGCAGTAGAAGAACTTTGGGTAATAACATTTTGTTGAGTTGAAACCCCCGCTGGACTTGTCATAGAGATTGGGCTTTCGTAATAAAAGAACCCACAGCAAAACTATAGTCCCGGAGAGCTGACAGCAGAAGAGAACGTTGGAGAATAAAATTTTGTTGAGTTGAAACCCCCGCTAGATTGTCATAGAACCTAAATAAAAGAATCCACTGCAAAAGTATAGCCCTGGAGAGCTAATAGCAGACGAGAACGTTGGAGAATAAACTTTTGTTGAGTTGATTGTCATAGAGATTGTGCTACCGTAATAAAAGAATCCACAGCAAAACTATAGTGTCGTAAACCTGACAAAAGAAGAGAACGTTTGAGAATAAAACTTTGTTGAGTTGGAACCTCCGTGGATTGTCATAGAGATTGAGTCATGAGAGCTGACAGCAGAAGAACGTTGGAGAATAAAATTTTGTTGAGTTGAAAAGATTGTCATACAACCGAAATAAAAGAATCCACAGCAAAACTACAGTGTCGTAACCTCGACAAAAGCAGAAGAAAGCTAAAGAACAAACTGCAACCCCCCCCCGGCGCTTGCCCCTTAGTAGTGGTAGCGTGGGCGAGCGAGACCTGCGCAGGCGGGAGAGC